AATGGCGATTTAATCAATATGATTCTGGTGAAGAAATAGATTAGTAAGTTTTTTATATTTTTTTTATACGATTCAAACACAAATTAAACCAATATACTTATCTGTTTATATATATTAATATGTGTCAGAGATACTAGCTCCGCTATAAAGCTCGATAATTAATTTTACTTTTTATTTTATACTTTAGAATGGGGCATTTTATATATATAACTTCTATGTCCGAACTGAATACAGAAGAATTACCTAAATTACTGTCCAAAGTATCTGAATTGGAAGAAGTATCTGAATCCATAGAATACTTGACCTTATTTTTCTTGCTCTTATTTTTAGAAATATCGTTATTTAATCTTCTGGATAGTGGGGTACGGGAGGTATGTTACGAAATATTCCATGACGCCTCTTTCATTGCTTATCATCTTTGCTTCTGAGAGACAATTTCTTGAACATATCTGTAGTTTCCTCTAGAGCTAGATCGAGCGCTGATTCCATCGAATTGAATGGGTTTTTTTAGTGGAGCTGGCTTTATGACTTTTTGAGTCACCTATGGGCCTGCTACCTTCTTCGATTAATGGGATGCTTATACCATCTATTACAATTTTAGTGTAAAAATCATTAATTTCAGAAGAAAATCTGAAACCTATTTTTGCTTTATGCATCTATAACCAATCCCTCTCTAATACCAGATCAAATGGTGGATTTTTGCGAATTTGAAAGTCTATTACTTCAGTGCCATCTAAGCTTCGCCACTTTCCTTTATAGTGGAATTGTAAATCTAAGCATTTTATTTCACCTATTACATCTCTATAGAGATTCTCAGCAGGATCACAGGTAGGACGTATTCTATAATCTTCTTCAAGCTTATCGAACAAGCGCCTGCTAATAGTATTATATTTAGATGTTGTATCTATTAATGCTTTAACTGGAATTTTTCTTTCGACTAAACAGTGTATGCGCATATTAAGTATATTTAATAATGTATATTATAATCGAAAAAAATAACTAATAATTAATTATCTGCCTAAAGCCCTTGCCACGATCGATGTAATTCTTGATCAATGGCTCGAGCAAGACTATTTAATAAATTAATTCCTTCTGAATCAGTCAATTCTGATGATACTCTAATTGCAGAAATAAGATCTGTTACATTTAATGTATTGGTTGAAACTATTCTATTAGGTCCACTGGTAAAAATAACGCTTCGAGATACTCTTAATAAATCTGGAATAAGTGGGGGTAGATCAGAATCTGAGAATTCATCATCAGAATAATCTGGATGTTTAATTTTATTTTTTGAATTGAGTTTTTTTTTATCGCTTCTTCACTAATTCCTTTACATCCCTCCAAAATAAGATATTTTAAATTATTACAGTTGTGGGCTATTTCCTCAATAGCTTTATTACTAATCAAACAATCGCCAAACTCAAGATGTTTAAGTTTTGGACAAGAACACGCTATTTCAGTGATATATCGATCAGTAAGACATTTGCATAAATTAAGGCTTAAGTGTATTAATTTCGGACAAAATTTTGCAATTTCTATAATTAGTATATTAGTAAAACTATAACTAATGTTCGGTTAATTAATTTAGGTACATTTTTAATTCGTATTTATAAAATAATTTAACTATTACAATAACCGAAGCTGATAAAACCATATCCCACATTACTAAACAGGTATCAGGTAAAAAAATCTGGATCTCTCTTCACCGATTACTGGAGATAGTGAAGCCTGAGATTCAGCAAGATATTATAAACTCGATAATGAACTTAGACATTTCTCAGCAATGTAAGGCTAAAAGAAAGTACAAAGCTAGAAAAAAACTAATTTTTAATGATACCGTATCTGAATCCTCATCTTCATCTGAGTCTGGCTCCGACTCTGAATCTGATATTGAGATCAGTGAATAGGTATCAAAAGTAAAAAAGCACAATTAATCTTAATCGTGGATATGAAATGGTCTTGCTTGCTCTGGAGTCTGCCCTTTTTTCTGATAATTCACTACAACGTAATTTTGCACAGAATTCTGTATCCAGGTTAGTAATTCTTTGGCTTGTTTTTGATCCTTTTCCATAGATCTAAATTTTCTGGGAATATCTGGTTGGCCCCTGTTCTTTGCATAACCTGTGACTCCGGTATCTGTAATATGTAAAGTTGTAAGTTCAGCAGGACGGATGCAAAGCATTATCATAACATCTGCGAGAGATTGTAAATCAGGTGAGGTTTTTACATCATATACATCTAATCTCTCTTTAACCGATTCTAATGTAAAGTGATCTGGGTAGTCGATTTTTTCAAATGCCTCGACAAATTTTCGCCGATTTTTTTAGATATCATTGGCTTCTCATGTAATTTCAGGGAATTTCGTAGCCTCAATTATTTGAGACGAAGTACCGAGATTTTTTAGTTCTCTTCAGAGTCGAGAAAGATGTGATAAACCAGCATTGGCATTTTTTGCTAATAATGCTAAGGCATAAGCTTTGGCTCTTATATCTTTAATGCGAAGTTTATCCCGTAAAAACTGTTGTGCCATATCCCCGATAGTTTCTTCCCCCATTCCTTTAGAGAGTTGATTGGCGATTACAATATTTAAGGTTTTGCCAGAAATACTTTCGCATTGTTTATTTTTCTGGGTTGTAAATAAGGCGTTTACTTGATCTTTACTAAACTTATATCTATTTTGCAAGATTCGTTTTGCTTTCTCTCTGATAATCTCTTCTTCTAAACTTTTTGGGAACTTGGTTATAGCTATTCTATAATTACCTTCAACCAAATTTATAGTTTTATTTTTCCCACTTCTCTGATTAGGTATCAATATATCTACCTGTTCACTGCTAAATTTAAAACCATCCCGAAGACGTCGTCGAGTTTGATTTCGCTTTCTATCATCAATAAGATTCTCAAGAAACTCAGAGGTATATTAACTAAGCTCAGATATATCTATCTTCGGGGTGAGTTTGTATTTTTCAACAATTTCTGTAGCAATAGCCGACATTATCTAATGCTATAGTAGGTTGAGTAGGTTATATACACTATATAAAATATTTTTTCAAATCAAAATTAATTATACTTTTTCTTCCTATACTCAGAGGCACATAAGTGCCATTATTCCATAATAAAAGAGTGTTTATGTCTACCTATAAAGTAACCGCTACGTCAATTTGAAATTTACTATTATATGGGATATAACGAAAAAAATACAGCTCTAGAGATAGAGGTCCAGGTTATATTAAGGTTTATTATTCATTTTTCTATTATTTAATACATCTATCCAAATAAATTCTGACCCAATTCAATAGTTATAAGATATTTGCGATATATGTCCGGTCTGTTTTGTAATATTTCGGGTGGTGGTATTACTGCCGGCTTCCATATATTAAATAAGAAGGCTGTGTGATCGGAACAACTATAATCAATATGTTCAGATATTTCTGAGTAATTCAATAAATCACTAACATGTCTATATCTATTGCGGATTAATTTACGGAATGTTGGTCCATTCAGATTTATCATCCGGTCAGTTAATAGGTTAAATACTTTTTCTGGAGTTTCTAATTCTTGATTGCTCATTTTGTTTACGGTATATATAAAGCATGAGAACATATTGTTTTTGTAATATTTTTATTGAAAATTTTTATATTATCTAGTTTGTAGGAGCAAAAAATCCCTCTATATCGAAGCTCCTACCTGCAAAATTCACCTATTTGCTCCTTATTTTATATACATATAGGATGCAAAGCATCTCCTGCTTCGCAGACTTACCATAGCATACTATTTGCCTGGAGTATGCTCACTGTTTTTTTCCATTCCTTATCAGTATCCAGCCATGATGAGGTGATTCCATCTTCCTCGAGAGAACGACAGATTATTTCTTCGCTTATTAGTCTTTCTCACACTGTTATATCTATATATTCACTGGGGTCTTCTTCAGCCTCCTTTGCAAAACCACACATTTTCGCATCAGTTTGCATTCTGTCACGGAATGCGACAGAATCGAGCTTATCTTTTTTAGTAATAGTAACGAATTTGTTGGGATCTTCACCAAGTTCGATAGCTTTCTCACGAAGATGTACCTCTCATTGCTCTCTGGTTTGATATCCCAGTGGATATGACATCTGCTTGAGAGATACTTTATTACTAGTTTTTGGTTCATCATTCATAGATAAGACAGGAGATATCATTTTCCACAAATTCGATAATCTCTGATTCCTCGATAATTTCTGGTGATTTAGGTCTATTGTCCACAGGTTCTATGTGCTCGATCTCAGAAGGTAGAGATATATTAGTAGACTTGGACGCAAAGCAACTAAATATTTTGGTTGATCTGTTATAGAATCGAAGAGATCCTGGGTCATTTTAGTGATAGGAGCGGATGATAGTGCTTCGATCCGTAATCCGATTAATTCGGATGGATCCGATAATTCGGATTGAACTCGGATATCCGTATCTGTCAATTTTAAACAGATGGATCTGTATTACATCTCGGATTAAGGATTGGATTAAGGATAAGGATTATATTGCTTCCATATTTTATCAGAATCACAAACATACAGTCGGTTCACAAAGTCTAACACTATTACACAAAAATAATAAAAAACCTATCCTATTGAGAATATGTAGAAAATATTAAAAGTCAACGCTTAGCAACGAAGGCCACCTCCGAAACTTACGAGACCTTAAAAGATGGCATATATGTATCAATCCTCATGTACCATACATTAATATTATTAATTTATGCAATTTATTTATCGTTTATCGTTATATTTGTGCAACTGTATTAAACTTTGTGAGCCGACGTAATACGAAATAAATTTGTTTAGTAATATCAGATAAACCGGGGAGTTTGTGTATAGAGTTTATATATACGTATCATCAAATTCATAGCAGTAGTAAATATATAAAAGGAAAAAAGAAAGTCAGTAAATCATAAGTCAAAGAAAATACATGCTATTGTTAGTGTGGATTTAAGCAGAATGTTGGGATTAAAAAAAGGTGTATTAATAAAGCCGTGAAGAAATATAATACAAGAAAAGAAAGGCTATAAAGTGATATAGACACATTTGTTAACCTATACACATGTGCATATAAATATAAAGCTACAGAATTATTAATTAGATTTTTATGAAATGACTGTGAAAAAAATAGCATTTGTTAAATAAGAGGAATATGTTTAAAACTCATTTCATGATATTAGTCTTTTTTATTATGTAATAATGATTAAAAAGTGATGAACAAATAATAATTTTTGTTGGTCCTTATTTTTTTTTTTTTTAAAAAAAAAAAGCTGATTATTTATATAAGATTAGATTGCTTCAAGATTAGAAGGAACAATTCTTTTGAGTTAGAGCAGCCTCTTCTCGAAGTCTAAGAACTTTATAAAATCTATTAACCTTTTCTTTTTTAAGGATCTCTTCGTTACTATGTTCTTCGCCAGTTTTTTGTCTGTTCAGCCTTTAGGAAAAAACATTAGAATTTGAATTAAAATTTCTGGTGAGCATTGATGATCAAATTACGAACTTGGAAGTTCATAGACTAACTAATTTGTAAAAATGATGTAATTAAGAGGTTAATAATTTATAAGTATTGGTTAAAGGATCAATCACTAGTTAGTTTTTTGAATATCGACCATAGATAGTGAAGAATGATAGTTGACGATAGTTCAGAATATTATCAAAGTAATGACTTTGACTTTGAAACTACGCATATATATTTGGAACAATATGATCAATTTGAAAATTCAAGGACTTCATCTAATTTATCAACTGAAATGCTACCTGAAATTCAAACAACTCTAGAAAACAAAGAAAAAGGTATTAAATTATAGTGATAAAACTATAAAGCTAGAGACTTAGTAATAGTTAATTTTTTTTTTAGATAAAGAATCCATTATTTCCAAAAATAAAAAATCATACAAACGTAAAAATCCATCATTTACGCGAGAATATTTTGAAAAAACAGTCAATAGTACAGGTGAAGAAGTGCAGGTTTGCAAGGTTCAGAATGAAAATGAGAAAAAATGCAATCAAGAATATAAGAATGTTGAAAGCTCGACAGGAAATCTCATTGCGCACCTCAGAGATGTACATAGAATCGGTTTACAAGACGATATAGTAGTTTTTAAAAAAGTATATACTATAATAATATATTATAATATTTAGAAATTAAATATAATAAATATCTTATTAATATTTCTAATTTTTTTAGCCGCGAAATTCCAAAATCACTGATTTTATACAAAAACTTCGTCCTCACCCTAAACATATTCAAAAAAGACGAGAGGAAGTACTTCTTAAATGGATAATACTTACAAATCAATCTTTATCTACTGTTACAGATAATGCTTATAGAGAAAAAATGTCTGAATTTGACCCTGTATTTGTTGTTTCGTGTGAAAAAAAAATCAGAACTATGATTATTAAAAGCTATAAGTATAATCGAGAAAATTTGCAAAATCTTGTTAATATTGTGGAAAGTGTTTCTCTTACTATGGATTTCTGGTTTAGTAAAGCAAAACATGGGTATTTGGGGATTACTGCAACTTGGGTTATATCAGATTTTGAAATAAAAGATGTAATATTAGAAACTCAATATGTTCCTTCTCTGCATACTAGCAAAATTATTGTTAATGAACTTTATAAGTTTATTGAATTATGGAATCTTAAAAATCATATAATCTTGATTACCACTGATAGTGGAGCCAATATGATATCAACTTTTCCTTTATTGAACCAAAAGGATGGGTGTGAAAAAATTAAGCGTCTTCCATGTGTAGCCCATACTATACAATTAGCAATCGGAAAGGGGCTAGCTCCAGCAGAAATTTTAGTTGCATGCGTAAAAAGAATAATTCATTTTTTTCAAACTCAAAAACAATTAAAGCGATTAAAAGAAGTTCAGAAGCGACTTGGCTATACAGATGTTATAGGTTGTATTCAAGATATACCTACACGTTGGAACTCAACATATTACGCTTGGGATTAGCTTTATTTTATAAAAGATGCTATTACCCAACTTCAAACTGATTTATACACATCAATTAATCGAGAAATCAAAAAAGATGGTAGTAAATTAAAAAGAATTCTTCTTTCTGATGAAGAGTGAGAGCTAATAGATCAACTTATCGATTTACTAATGCTATTTGAAGAGATGACACAAGAATTTTCTGGTAATACGTATGTGACCTTAAGTCGAGTAATTCCAAAGGTTAAAGAAATAATTTTTGACTTAGCAAGCGAGGCACCACCAAGTAATGATCAGTTTTTTGATGAAGATACTATATTTGAATCAGAAGATGCGGAAATATAGCACATTGATTGTGATGATAATGAAATTGTTAGCAATATTACAAAATGAAGAATTTCAATTAAAAATCCATTAAATACGACAGGTATTTAAAGTTGAATTAAAGTAATATTTTAATTATACTCAAAGTGATTAGAATAAATAGAAAAAGATGCTCTAGTATAATTAAAATAGGTATTTAGTAAATGCAACACTCTAAATATATACTTTATTTTTATAATTCTGTAGGCATTTTGGAAAAGATTAAAAGGAATATTTATGATGTGATGATTTATTACTGGAATGTTCCAAATGAAGTTAGTTTAATGGCGGCTTTATTAGATCCTCACTATAAAAGTTTGGATTTTTTAGAAAATGATACTGAAAAGCAACAAGTTATTCAAAAACTTCGTGATGAACTTGGAGAGATAGAAGAAATAGCATCTGAACCAAATAAACTTCCTCCTTCTAACATAGAAACTTCAACACGCTCTCATAAGGAATACCTTCAACAATGACAAATGAGAAGAAAAAAAGAACCTCTAAATATACAAAATTTCGATGAAATTTCAAATTACTTGTCCCTACCATCAGCATTAGAAACTGAAAATCCTTTATCTTGGTGGAAAGTTAATAGTTCTAAATTTACTAAACTTTCCAAAATTGCTCGAAAATATTTTGAAATACCAGCAACTTCAGTATCTTGTGAAAGGTTATTTTTACATGCCGATAACCTTATTAGTGCAAAAAGGACTAGCTTTGATCCAGCTTTAGTGGGTCAGATGTTATTCCTAAAAAGAAATATTAATACAATGAGTATTTTTGCGCCAGAATGGGATGAAACAGATGAAAAATAATATTTTCAAGAAACATGCAATTGAAAGTAAAAAAAAAAAAAAAAAAAAAAAACAATTTGATGAATAACATGGGTTAATTATGTTTAATCATGTGGATGTCAAAAAACTAGTTTATATTTACAAGTATTAACTGGTATAGTGTTTCTAAATATAAATAATAGTGTAACTAGTTACACTTCTCAGATTCTAAATAAAGATAAATAGTTAGCAAGTTATAGCTTGTACGTACCTTATAAAAAAATATAACTACGTAGCTTAAAAAATATTAAAGCAATTAGTTAGCAAGTGTTAACTTGTACCTGGTAAAAAAATATAATCGGCTTTGAAAGATACTAAATAAAGCAATTATATTGATATAAAAGCAGTCTTAACTTGTTTTCGGAAGACATTTCAGATTTATCTGGACTATAAGTTTGACCTGGATTTTGTTGTTTTCACTCATTTATTTCAGAAATTTTTCTCATTAAATTGCTTTCTGTGTTTTTTAATTTAGTTAAATTATCGGTCTCCAAAATATCTTACTTGCTTAGTCAAAATAATAATACAATACATAGTAAAAAATAATGTAAGTACAAGAAATTTAAAACCTTAATTTAAACATATAGAAATAATGCATAAACTGGTAGCATATATTGTCTTAGGTATTCTCAATTATCTCAATCAACTGATTTAATAATAATTGTGATAACACTCAAGCATCACAATTAATAACAATATTAATAAAATTAAATGCTTGAACATATATACTCCAAGAATAATATGTATTTAATAACAAACAAGCCGCTACAGCTACAGAATTTAGTTTATCCCCAATGTATTAAAGAATCTTATTCTATGTACATATGTACATATTTAATATCTTTTGATTTTGATTGGTTGATCAATAAACTTTTTACAGATGAATCGAATTTACTTAATTCGAATTATAAATAGGATTCAACCAGATATAAGAAAGAGAATTAGGATTGAATTCGGATAGCCTTTTAAAAATAGAATCGAAGCACTAGTGGATGATGAATCTTTACTTTTTTCGGTGCTATCAGTAGCTAATGATTCAGTTATCTTTTTTTCTAGTTCGGAAGTTTTTACTTCTGGCACATCAAATACAGGGATATCTGTGGTTGTGTTGGTAGATGTCTCAGTTTGAGGTACGTCAGAAAATTCCTCGATGTCCCCTACAGATTCACGTAACTTAGCTACGATTTTGAATCGATCGAGGATATACTGCTACTCTCTCTTTCCACTACCCGCCCGTTTATTTTCGATGCTAATCTGTGTAAATTTTTTACCTAATATATTATTACTAAATGGTTTCTCACCATTAGTTTTACACCATGCTCGATACTCTTAATATAATATTGTACGACTTTGTATCTCAACTTGATCCTCAGACCATGGCGAAATACGATCAATTATAAATCGAGTGGGGCTGGGAAGATGCTCTAGTATTGTATCTGTTTTCTTTTAGTACTGAGAATATCTTCTGGGTCCCAATTTAAAAGATCACGATTAAGAAGATATGACATAACTATCCCTGGTGCATTAGGATATTCTAGTATTTTAGCCAAACGTTTGAAATATGGTATATTCCCTCTGCATCGTGTAGATACATCAAAACAAACTATATGAGCATCCCCTGCATCTATTTTAAGCAGGGCATCCTGGTTGCTTGTAACCATAAATGCTAAGTAATTTTTTAAATGAATAGGTTCAAGACCTTTACGTTCTATAGATACTTTTGGTTCTGTTATAAGAGATTTGAGATGACTATTGAATTTATGCCATTCGCCACTAGATATACTGGTCTCATTCATAACTACTAACTTTTTACCTTGAATAAGACTGTTGAATTTTTCAAGAATTTTCCCTAGATTGGATGTTGCATAATAGAGCTTTGGTCCTAAGACTTTATTACCAATAAAATCAATGATAATATTTTTTCCACATTGTTGAAGAGTAGACTTTAATACACATATTGAATGAGGTTTCTTTTCCGGTTTTTGTATTAAATATGCCTACCAGTTCCAAATATAATTGTTGAGCTTTTCATTTTCGTCAAAGATTACATTTTTTACATGCCAGAGAATTGGATCCATAATTTTTCTTTTAATTTCTGGTGCCGGTTTAGCTATAAACCCCAAAAAGAGATTAAAGAAAGGTGTCTTTGGTGGGTTTGCATTTGGAGAATATGGAAGAAAGTTGATTTTGCGATAAACAATTAACCCTTTTTTAACTGCTCGTTCTATTAATGATTTTAACTTTATTGATTCTCCCCCAAATTTGACTATATTAATTTCATAATTAGCAAGTTCTAGTTTAGGTACAAATTCAAAGATAAGACCGCTATCCTCATCTTCATCTTCAACTTTAAATATCTAAAACTTTTTACCTCTATCGATATAAGCAATTGATACTTGGATAGCTTTGTAAACTTTATTACAGGTATATTTTTCTCCTGATGCACACATGTTAATTAAGTCACCCCATACGAAATGATCATTTGGATCTGTTATTCTAGGTCGGTTTAATTTTTCTGAAACTGGAAGGCTATCTTCTTGTTCTGAAGCTTTTTCTTTAACAGTCAACTTTATTGAAGGATTTCTGGATCCAGATTCCTTTTTATTATTTGCACGATGGCAATAAAAACTATATGATTTTTTGTTCCAAATAATATATGCATTATCACTTGTATGTGGATCTTTGTAATCATATTCTCGATAACATAATGGGCAAAATGCTAGGGCTATGCATTTGAGAAGTAAGGTATCAGGAAAATTCTCATGTGGAGATGTAAGTTCATACCTCCTAATTTTAAATTCTTCTAATAATTTTGCAATCAAATTGAGTTTGATTTCAATATCCTCAGTAGTTTTAGTACATGTGTTAGAAATTTTTGTTGCAACGAGGTCTGTGATGAATAAGAGAAAACTATCTATAACTGGTATTTCATCATTAGGTGGATGAAGCATAAAATCGAATACATCTTTATTTTCAGGATATATTGCTCTTTTTATTCATACATGTTTATAAATTTTTTCACTAGTTTTTTCACATTTTTTCTCGATTACTTTTGGTGTTCCAAGCATTTGCAAGGAAAATGATCTTTTATTCACGATATTGTCTATAATTTTCTTGTCTTGTAAGCCTACTGGGAGTTTTTTACAAACAAGTTCAGTAAATAATGCACAAGCCGTTATATTTTTAAGTCTCATACCAAAAGTTGAGATATGAAGTGATATCTTTTTTAAATTGCTACTGCCAGCAATAGTTAATGTTTTTCTATCCCAATCTGGATATAATTCTAAACATACTTCTTTAAAGGCTCGAGCAAGTATATCTTTCACCTCTCTATTTGTAGGTATTGGATCGATTTTATTTAATGTTTCCTGGGGTAAATCGAAATCTATGAATGGGCGGAGAGGATCATCACCATCAATGATTTCGTGTAATGAATGTCCTTGCCATTCACTAAGAATAGCTTCTATCCCATCTTCGGAATCTGTGCTGAGAAATTGCCTTGGTCTTATGCTGTCATCACGGATTTTATACATATATTCAGCCACACTTTCAGCTTTGGAGCCCTAGTGGTAGGCTCAAAGAGCCATTGCTCCGCAATAGAAGACTCGTTATTTTCTTCCTCTATCTCTGGTTTGAAATTTTTCAAGTTTTCCAGGCTCTTCGGTGCTTCCACTTCTGCTAGCACGTGATTGATGGTTTCTTAGAAATTTTGGTTTTCCACAGTTGGCACATCAGATGATGCAGGAGCAATAGATACATTATGTTTACTTTGGATAGTCATATTTTCTCGAATGATATAAAAATGGTTAAAGAAAAGTTCAAAATAAAAATTAATTATTTTAGATAATTAGTGTTAGACAATATATTATATATACTACTTAAAAATTGTATTAGTAAAACTTTAGATATGGGATTGTACTGTTGTCCTTATATCCTTAGAAGTGGGAAAGTATGCAATCGGGGTTGCTATCGACCTGAGGGATGTACAGTTCACTGGAATTCACCTATTCATTATCTTTGCAAAGAATATGGTTGTGTTAAGTTCACTTATTCTGAATATGGTGCATGTAAAACTCATGCTGGTAAGTATCGATCTCAAGATCATTATCAGCAGAAAATAGTGCAAAATGGTGTTGGAGTGGTAGAAAAAGATACATAGTTTGCCCTAGATTTTTAGGAGGTTATAGTCCAGTTTTTCTTGGATGGATTTTTTCTTGGACAGCTTTCCTAGACAAAAAAAGATAACTAAATGATG